TTTCAATCGCAGTAAGCTCGTCAACGTTTTTAAGTTCATCTGTTTGTTAACAAATCACCTTGTACAGCATCCAATTTGAGTCTTCCTTTAAATAAGATTCGCACAACACAACTCGTCGAGCAATGAAACATTGATTCGGCGTCTATTAAAGACATTCTAATAAATTATCGCGCATTCCAAGAACTTTACCGATGTAACTTTTCAGAACACATGTCAAGGCGACCTTTTCCTGACCATTCATCAAGGGAATTGAAAGTACACCGAACAGAGAAATGCAGATAGCTTGCTTTGGCAATTGAGCGAAATCAGTTTTAAAAGCTTTATTCTTTGTCAAGGGTAATGATTCGCTATTTCCATAATCTACAAACGAACTGTGATGTTAGGAGTATTTCCCAAAATCAGCACGATACCAAGAGTTATCTTCAGAGAACTGGGCACAAACAGCTGCAACCAGCAACAGGTTGTTGGAGTGAAAACTCGTTTCCGTTTAATGAACTGTAAAATGCTCCAAGTTTTTCCATTAGATCAAGTAAGTCATCTTCAGAATCGGACAGCTGACACCAAATGTTTGCAGGCGACTCAGCTGACACAAAGAACAGATTAAGCTCATCTCCAATATTCACATGTATGTTTACGAAAGATACGTCTGCACGAGGATTGTTTGAAACTGATATGGGAGCAGGTGGCAAAGATTTTAAAGCAAATGATTTTTCAATAAGAAGTTCACTCAATGATTGTTCTTCTTCGTCAAGAGTTCCGTATATTGAACATGTAAACCACCAAGTTTCTCTTCCTTTAACCACAGCAGAGAGCAATCTAAGAAATCATAAAATATTTTTTACTTACACAACATTAATGGTCAATCTTCCTCTCTTTTTAAGCTAAATTACAGGGGCCGGTTGCACGAAGCCAGGATAGCGTTATCCATTGGATAGGAAAAATTTTCAAACGACAAAGAAATTTCGTGATCTTCGAAACAATATTTTAATTCAGGGATTACTCAGTTCGAATGTTATATTTTTTGCTTCTTAAAAAGTTACAGAAAAGTTTAAAAAATATTGCTATACAATGGGTAACGCTATCCAGGCTTCGTGTAACC